AACAACAAATCCTCATTGAGTGTCTACCATGTTGCTCTGCATCAAGCATTATACCACCTAGGAGAACATAGAACTTAAAATATTGTCCCTGCTCTCCAGGAACTTAGTGTCTGGTAGGAGTTTTAATTCCACACTCTTGCTCAGAAGGCTCACAAAAAGGAGACCCAGAGTTGCCCAAGGAAGGCTGGCTGCCTGTCCAACAGTATCTCCATGGGGTGTGAATCAATTATTGTCAAGCCTGGAAAAGAGAAACTACTCTAGATATTTCAAGCAGGGATAGAGTTAATGCAAGGAATTTTTTAATGAAACTGTTGGAAAAGGTGGAGGAGCAAAAGGCATAAGCTGGTGGTACTCAAAGAGTAGGAAGCTGCTACTGCCTGTTTTTATACTGAGCTTGTTGGAGGAATCACAGAAGTTACTGGATCATACCTGCTGTTGATGTTGCTTCTCTGCAGCTAGAAGCAGAAGGGCTTTTCTCTTCCTGCTGCCTTCTGATCTCTCACTGCCTCTTATTGGCAGAATCCAAGTTGGCCAACTGACTAAGAAATCTTGGTAATGGTTGCACCTCTAGACCTGCAATAAAGAAAAGAGCATAGCAGGTGAAGGCAGGGACGGGTGGGTGGTAGTGATGGCATGAAATCCAACAGTGAATTAACCAGCTGAGAGGGATAGGGTCTGGGAGTAGCCACTGATACCCAGAGTTTTCTGTCAGGCTTTAGACTCAGAAATTTATTAGTACCCTGAGATGTGATCAGACTTTGAAATCTGACTGACATTAACTCATATGGATGGAAATGTATCCCCTGAAAATTCATGTTGAAACCCTAACGCCCGAAGGGACTATATTTGGAGATAGGGCCTTTTAAGAGGTATTTAAGCTTAAATGAAGTCTTAAGAGTGGGGTCCTCATTCAATAGGACTGATGTCCTTATAAGAAAAAGAAAACAAAGAGGTACCACAAGTATGTGTACAAAGGAAAAGGTCACATGAGGATACAGAAGGCGACCAAATGCAAGCTAAGGAGAGATGTCTCACCAGAAACCAACACTGCCAACACCTTGATCTTGAACTTCCAGTTTCCAGAACTGTGAGAAAATCCATTTCTATCGTTTAAGCCACCAAATCTGTGATATTCTGTTATAACAGCATAAGCTGACTAATATACTAAGCAAATAAATAAATGATGAATGTAAAGAGTCGGATGCTGAATTGCAAATTTGTATTAAAAATGTAACTTTCCAAAAGATTGCCTCCTTATATTTGTTGGTCAGCACATTCTTCTTCTATAAGTAAAAGGACATGGGAATCAAATAAAATTGGAAGGTTGCTTTATGGCAGTGGTCTCTGAGCCGGGGAGTTTGTTGGATAATACAAATGGCCAGCATAATACCAAAGTGTCTGGGATCTGACATACGCATGTCCCCTCTAGACTTGCAGTCCTTTCTGGGTATGTGTAAACGTGGGCACATCTCTTTCCTTGATGATGCTGGAGGTGGAGCCTGTCAGCCTTCCTGTCTTTTCCTTTGTGAACTCCTCCCCTTTTCATGTTGACACATCCAGGTTGCCATTTTGTTTCTTGTGTGGTCTTGCGCTGATCCTGGATAACTTTACTTTGATCCTTTCCATGATTGCTTTACGGTATAATTCATGAATTTTCTAGTTCTTGGGATGGGGGTAGTACGTACATTTAGGGTGGTAACTGGCCAGACTCATGACTACAGCTGTGCTCCTTACTGCCATTGACCATGTCCTTCTGATTGGCCAATCCCTGTGCCTTATCAGTTGCTGAATGTTCTGAAGGTCAATCTCTGCCTATATTATTGGCACTATTAAGTATGAAAAGAAACTGACCAGGTTAAATCATTCAGTCAGCCTTCCACATAGCAGACTAGGCTGTTTGAGAACTGTCAAAAGGATCCTTGTTTCCCAAAATGACAGTCTCATCAGCCTATTATGGAACATAAAATCCAGTCATTGGAAGGGATGATTAAGATATCTGATATATAAAGCTTACCTACTACCTCTCAGGTAGTGGGAAAACCCTTTAAATGGATCATCTCATTAATCATCACAACAACCCCACTATGAAGAAGGTCCTATTATATATTTTTTTAAGATTTTATTTATTTGACAGAGAGAGACCCAGGGAGAGAGGGAACACAAGCAGGGGGAGTAGGAGAGGGAGAAGCAGGCTTCCTGCGGAGCAAGGAGCCCGATGAGGGGCTCGATCCCAGGACCCTGGGGGCCATGACCTGAGCAGAAGGCAGACGCTTAACAACTGGGCCACCCAGGCACCCCAGAAGGTCCTATTATTAATGCCATCTTATAGATGAATCAGTTGAGGTCTATAGAGATTAAATTGTTTAATTTTATCAGCTGGTAAGGAGTAATCAAACCCTAAAACTAAGTGTTATGCTCAGAACAAACAAGTTACTTTGTCCTACAAGACCCTGGTGTGATGTAATTGTTACTTATGGCTTGGAATTTTCCTTACACATTGTCTTCCCTGCTTCTTCATTCTTTAAAAACTGGTTTCCTATTCTGGGGGCACACAAACCTCTTTCCAGCTTTTTTCCAGCAGAAGGGCTGGCCCCTCTATCTGGAATGCTCTTTACCTGCAATGCTCTTTACCTCTTTACCTGGATTCTACTTTTATCATTCCGTCTAAAATGTTCTCCCCTTCCACATGCTTGACACTCCATAATGCTGCCTCCTGAGGGTTATTTCCTTCGTAAGCAGGTACCTCTCACAGTTCAAAGTTGTTTGTTTGCTTCTTTATTTCCTGTATCTTCCATGAAGTTCCAAGGCAGGAGCCTAGCACACGGCTGTGTTACTAACACCTAAGTATTGGGTCCTTCATACTTTAGGTACTTAATAAATACATGCTACCCGCTGAAGGATTATCTATTGTGACCTAGCAAATGCCAGGGGTCTTTGGAGTACGATGTAGGAGGGTGAGAAATATATAAATGAGAAAAGACAACAAGAAAATGACTTGGGGGGTATATTTTTGTTGGAGGGAGAAATCTCAGGCCCTGAGTAGTCCCTCTAGCTGGAGCCATCATTACAGAGAGTATTCTGAGCTACCATTGAGTGCACACAGCACATATATCTCATACTGAGATGAGGAGGGGGCAGCAAAGTGGATGGAAACAGCTAAAGATAGGAAAGGCAAGTGCTTAAAACAAATCTTACTGGACTAATAGTTTTGCCGATAGTAATAGCATGCAACTAACTTTGTTCTGGAAAAAACTGCCAAAGAGTTTGTTTTTAACTACTAGGTTCTACCAACCAGCAAATAATAACTTCCTATATTTAAACTGTGCTAGGTGGTTAATAAGTAAGGCCCTAAGGACTCCCATGAAGTGTGGGAGAGAAAGAAGTCTTTGCCCAGTGGGGTGACCAGGAAGCTCCTGTGAAGGAGATGGGACCTGCGCCAGGCACTGCAGAGGCGAGAATTAGACCGGATGAGGTGAGGGGTGTGATCCAAAGCGTGGTCTCAGGAATGTGCCTCACATATTCAGGGACTGTAAAAGGCTACTTGGCAGGAAGTAGACCTTGAACGTGATGCTGAAAAATTTGGTTTTAGATTCCAAATTCAGAATGGACTCCCAAGAGATTCCAAGTGGACGAGTCATGAATTGAATTTGGTGTTCCTCCAAGTGAGAGGTGCCAGATGGAGGAGAGAGCCTACGGCCGGGGAGTCTATGGGTTTCCTACCACTGACCATCATTTGGGCATACCCTGTCTGGGACATCGCTGTCCCAGCCCTCCTCCTGGTGGGGGAAACAAAGAGCAAATAGTGTTTAGACCCTTAGGCCCCCCATATGGTGGGGGCCATGAGGTCAGTTTCTGTTACATCCTCGTTAGATTTGGAGCAATTGAGGGGCTGCGGATAATATTTCTTTTCAATTTTATCAAAAGCTGATTGGTATAGTATGTTATTAAGTTCAGCTTTTCTTCGATAGCAGGACAATGGTTATATGTTTTGTGTGGATTATGAGCAATTTCTGTACCTCCAAGTGCCTCCTGAATCATCCAAGATGTATTAGATTATGTTAACTTAGTATTTAAGGTTAACTGGTTTTTGATGTAATCTGTGCATAATTAAAACTTACATGTAAGTTGTAGTTTATTGCCTTTAAATCATTGTACATCTACATGTCTTTTGCAGGTTAGAAAGGTGAGTTTCAGAGAGGCTGAATGACTTGTCCAAGGTTACTTGGGGAATGGGTAGGAAAGCCTGGACTAAAACCTGTTTCTTTTACTTCAGGCCATTTATATCTTGGTGAAGACTGGAAGCTAGTGCTTAATACACACAATATATTCCTACTAACCGGGACACTTAGTCATTCTAGAGCTAGCAACCACAGTGGAGTACGGGGATTAACTATATCTGATGGAGTAAAATGCAGTGGGCATTCAGATGCTCCTTGACAGTGACATGCCCTCCACCATTCATGTGGAATCCACCTGTCCTAGAGGGAATGTATCTTATAATGGTCCCCACAACTGTTTAAATTAAATATTTTACAATGAAATATTGGCAGTAATGTTTAGTTTTCAGTTTCCTCTCCTCGGGCCTTGGGCTCAGCCACTCTTGGTCAGGGAGCCTGGTTTTGTCAGTTTGATCTCATGGAATTTGCAGACAGCATCTATGTGCACAGTAACAGAATGATTCTGGCTGATAGAGGGAGGATGGGTGTGGAGCAAGCGTGGCATGAAACAGACTGTTTGCTTTTATCCACAGTCTGCTGATTCAACCTGCAAACCCATTCCCCAACTCCATTAGCAAGACCTATAAAAACACAGGGGCCTCTGTAAAGACGACTGACATTTGCAACATGGAGAGAGGTCTTTTGAGTTGAGAGAGCCCAGTTCTGCACTTGTGATTCGGGTCTGGGTATTTTGGCTGCAACACTTGTTTCTGGTTAGAAAGCTAAAAACAAGGGTCTAAACACTATTCAGTTGATGGTAAAACACATGCTCACTTTTTGCAGTGACCCTGGAAACAGAAGGGGAATTCTTATAAATCACAAAGGAAAATAAATAACTTCACCCATGGAGGGAAAGAGACAGCTTGAGAAAAGGGACTTTGGAAAAAGGCTGTCTCTAGACAGCAGTCTTGTGGTAAGTACTAAATATTCATTTACCACTCTATATGTTTTGGCTTAAAATGCATTATTCTTTGACTGTTATTTCCTGAACCCTGTGCTTTTGAAACCTCTATTCCAGTTACCCCATTAGCCATATCCCCTGGGATTTGCTTTCATTTATTTTTTTACAAAGTCAAAAGCCAGCAAATTATTGGAATGTTTGTAGAGTGTCTTAATAGGCAAATGTCATAATCTGTCAACATTATATATAATTACATTAATTCCAGCTGAAGTAGACTTTAACCTATACAAAAACACTACTATAAAGCTGATGCCAAATGCCAAGCCTATATATAGTTGTTCCATCACCCATTTATCTTCATTTGGGGGATAAGTTGAATAAGAATTTAATAGAGCTTCAAATATTGAAGAGCGAAGAGTCTCTGAGATCTTCTTAGGTACGTACCATGGTTCAATTGTTTATAAACTTTCTTTCGAAGAGTGTGAATGCTGATGAGCATCATTCTTAACAACCTGGTTGTGTTTGCTTTCGTGTATGAGAATCTGGTTAGTCCAAGGAAAGAGACTGAATCCCTGATTCTGGAAGGTTGGCTGTTCTCTGAGCTCAGATGTGTGCATCACCTCTTCTCTTCCCGAATGCATGTGACCAGAGTAAGAAATCAAGCGAGTCACTCCTTTCTCTTTTGCTCATTTACTGAAATAGAGATTTAGCTCAGCTCCTTCTTTTGCATGTTGTGGAAGGATGTGCTTTATTCATTTGTGTGCTCCCAGCATTTGGCTGGGAGTTTGGGTCGGAGTAGGTATCCAATCAGATATTTGTTGAATGGATTTGTGAGTTGCACTTTCCCACTCTGCGGCTATAGGTCTGGCTCTGCCAGTGTATAGACTAGCTAGTTACCCCATAATTGCTGAGGCTTAATGTCACAAACTGTTCCTGGATGTGAGTTTCCGGGAATGGAGAAAAGGATTACATTAAACTTTTGTGTCTAGTTCCTCTCGTTTTTAGATTCAATTTCTGTGTCTGTGTGTGCTGTGCAGTGACCAGCCTACCTTCAGAGGCTGAGAACTTTCATAGCATTTTAGATTCTCCTCCCAATGGATGTGCCCTTTTCTCATCTCTTAGGTCTTTCTGTCTCTGGGTCGAATGTGATGCAAATAGCCTGTATATGTGTGTGTGTGTGTGTGTGTGTGTGTGTGTCTGTGTGTGCACGCACGCACATTTAAATATCTATTCCCTGAGGATAGTTTCTGGGGAACTTAGGATAAAAAGATAATTTCTCAGCCTCTCCTTTCCCAAAGAAAACTCTTTTTACCTATTAACCTGCCAATAGGGTCTGTCATGTACCTAAGCAGAGGACAGAGATGCCCATATAATATGAGCAACACAGGAAAGGTTCTCTTTTTAAATCTTTTTTTATTATGAGAGAGAAAGAGCTCAAGTGTGGGGGGGAGGAGCAGAGGGAGAGGGATAAGCAGACTCTGAGCTAAGCATAGAGCCTGATGCTGGGCTCGATCCCACAACCCCGAGATCACAACCCAAACCGAAATCAAGAGTCAGACACCTAACTGACTGAGCCACCCAGGCGCCCTGCAGGAAATATTCTCTTAACCCAAAAATATCCTTGTTGATTAGTCCCTAAAGTCCCAAATTCTGCCTTCCATGCTGGAGAATATGCAAAGATGCTATCAGTGCAAGCATGCTAAGCTGTTGTCTTTCAATAATTCATAGTAGCACTCATTAATAAAATGTCTTGGATCTTTCCCAAATGTCAGGCAGCTGAGCAAAATTTTGTTGAGGGAATTGGTAAACAATAGGATGCAGAGCACAGATTGCTGGGATGCAGGACTGGGTTGGGGTGGGGAGGGGAGAGGCAGTGAATTACCATGAGAGCATCAGGTATCTGAAAATCAGAGAAAGAGGAAAGAGCCTCAATGAAACCATTGTCCATATTTAAATTTTGCTCAGGGACAGGCTTGACTGTGAGCATAAATCAAAGCCTGTCATAGTAGCAGTGCAAGCTGAAAACCCAAAACCAAGCTTGGGTTTCCATGGCACATGGCTCTACCCTGAGTCTTGTGGGGCCTGCAGATCCATTCTGACTTAACAGCCTAAAGGAACACTGTGAAAATAAGTACCCATTGCTTGGCACCACCTGAGAAACAATCCTATTAAATCTCCCCAAATGATGCGTAAGGAGAGTTTTTACACTAGTGAAATATCTTCGTTGTTTCTTGGAGGTAGATTAAGTGTTATGTCTGCACGTGCATAATTGGGAAAATCCTGAAACTGTGCTCTCTTATGAGTAGGTGGCCTGGGGGATGGGAGGCCTTAAATGCCACTGCAAGTTATACAGTTTAGGCCATGTGACTATAAATTTGCCTTCTGTTTTAGTGTTATGTTCTTTCTTCATATAAGATGCGGAGGCAGTGACAGCAAGAGTACTTGTTCTGAGTTGGTGTTTTGAGAGGGAGACCCACTGAGAGTCCCTTGAGTGAATTCTTTTGTGACCATCAGGAAGAGAGGTAGACAGGGATGAGCTCAAAGCTGACTGGCCTGTAAAGGACTTGAACCCAAGACATTGCCCTCCTCTTTGGCTCCCTGCTGAAATCACACAAATAACTGGGAGAGAAACACAAGGTGATAATTCTGGAAAAGGGTTCCTGGAAAATACAAGGTGAAAGAAACACCTGACATCTTTCTCAAGGCATGTTTGCTTTATTCCATTTTATGTTATTTTTTTAAATCCTAGAATGCTATATTGGAACTGGGTTATCCAGTCTCCTCACTTTGTAGAAGAAGTTATTACTCAGTGAGGTTCAATGTTTTTCTCAAGGTCCCACAAGTAGCGTGCGATGCAGGTCTCCTACCCCTCACTTCACTTCCTTATATTTTACTACATAAAATCCCGGTAAAAAGAGACGTCCCTTTGGAAAACTGAATAGAGGAAAGAGAAGTATACTAAATCTTAAGTCTTGAAATTCCACCACAGTAATCATTATGACCCACATTTTTGAGAATTAGAAGGCCCAGAGGTAATTTCCACTTTCACATTTTGCAGGAAAAAATTCCTCATAATGTACAGTAAGAATAAGGTACTATTAACTTCGTTATACTTTTTATTTTACATAATCAAATCATGAAGTGTTGAGTAGAAATTATAGCTCCCTTGCAACAGCTTTTAAATTTGTAGGCTGGTGGAACCATAGAATAAAGAAACTCACAGTCCAGACACTGAAAAAAGCTCCCCATTGGGGGATGGTCGCTTGTGGTTTTTAGTCACAATTTTGCCTTAAGGACAGGACAGGGGAGGGTTTGTGTGTGTGTGTGTGTGTGCGCGCGTGCGCGCGCGCACCCCAGTAGCATTGAAGTGTTCTTTGATGTTGATTTTTTTATTTGATAAATCACCCTTTTTAAGAAGAAAGTGACAGGTAAGTGAAACTGAAATGAAAAATATGTTTCAATGTGGGGGGTAAGTACCCTGAGAGAAAGACAAGTGACTACAAGTTTGCCTTCACCAGTAGGAGTGTGCCGAGGAGCTGCACATTCGCAGCAAGAACAGTCTCCTCTCTGAGAACAATAAAAATCACCCCAGAAATCAAGGCCTCTTCTTGACCCAAAGCTGTTCCACCCACCCCAGGATGCTTTTTGATCAGAAAAAGTCAGCATTTCACACTGTGCTTTTTTATTTGCAAAAAATCATTCCCAGGCTGCCCGTATAGCTATTTGATACGTGTGGCTATGATAGCATTGAGCTGATGAGAAGGCTGGGGAGTGAATTATTTTATTTCTTTCTTTCTTTATTTTTACCAGCTCACATTCCAATAGCAGAAATTCCCTTTTAATTTGAGGGAAAATTACTTTTTGCTTTTAGGCACGGGTGGAAGTAAGTTTCTATCATGAACGACAAATTCTTTCGTGGTACCCCATTCCTTCTTCCCCTTCCAGAAGGAAGAGAAATGTTGGCCACACTAGATCCTCAGCTCTGACAGGAGGGCAGTTTTGATAAACTCATGAGAGCAGGAAAGGCCCCACAGCAAGTCCCTCCATTCATCCTTCAGCCTCTCGGTTTGTATCCAAACTATTAGTGATTAGGCCTTCCACAGGCACACATTAAGCCAAACAATAAGCATCACTAGAAAACCTGCTTTACATTTAAGACGTTGTAGTCGCTATGGGATGTTCTGAATGGTCACCACTTTTCCCTCCAGATCCACCCCATCCTTCTCTGCCTGGCTGTGCACCCCTGGAGGATGTACCACACAGACCTTGTCAACAGGATCCTATGTCTTCTGGCATCTAGTTGGGTTTGGCCAATGGGGGGGGACCTAGCATGAGATCAGAGATCAGGAAGAGAGAGAGGTCAAGCTGATGGCTTTCCTGTTCTCTCCTTGCCTGGTCCTGGGCCACAGTGACTGGACAGCTCTGCCTAAGGTCACAGCTTTTGTTGGGCTCACAAAACCACAGTTCTGTCTGTGTTCTGGCATCTTCCCTCTCCCCGTGTTCCTTCAGGTTTCTTGGTAGTAATGACTCTTGGATGTTGCCAGTTTGTCTCATGTTGGTCTGCTTTAGGTCTGCCCACACTTTGTTGTGTGGTTCCTTTACCAAAATCTTCTCAATTTAGATGATTTGCCTGTGCCATCATTTTCCTATGGAGCCCCCTGACTGATACAAGACAGTAGTTTGTTTATGGAAGCTGACCTAATCAGCAGGAATAGTGATATAACACAGAGGAGGGAAATGGTGTGGCATTGACTCTGAGAGGCACCGAGTCATGGGGGGAGGGTATAAGGAGCGCCATGGAGGAGGAGCTGGAGTTAGAACGTGCTCTGAAGCAATTTGAGAGCTTGCTTCGATAGCACATGTACTACAGCTGAAGCAATGGGGAGAATTTGGTGGTTGAGCAGAGAAGGGGCAACCCAAAGATATTGTCCTATACCCTCTGCTAACAACTCATTCCATTGCTGAATTATTTTTTTCCCAGAGAAACTTCTTCCTTATATCAAATTGTGATG